AGAACTGTTTTATACATATAGGTGTAAGACCTTACAGGACACTAAGACTTATTTATTCAAGACATATATTTTCCTCTCAATACTGTATCCCACATCCACTGTGCTGTGGGTCAGAGTGTGTCTCTTCCTTCCCACGACTACTTTTCCTTTTATATTTTACGCCAACGAGAGGACTTTATCTTTTTCCAATGAGTCTTGAACTGAACCCCTACCCCACCCCAACAACCTAACTTATAAATAATCAACAAGTTCGTAAAATTTACGCTGTGGAGATATTTGTGAATATCATACATCTTTCCTTTAACCAGTTGCTGTCTTAATAATAAAAAGAGTAAGAATAAGAATAAGAATAAGAATAAGAAAAAGAATAATAAATGACACTTTCATTTGTCACGGAAGGGCATTTTGGTTTACAATTGCAAACATACATACACATACATACATACATACCAACATAAATACATACACACATACACACATACATACATACATACATACATACATACATACATACATACATACATACATACACACATACACACATACACATATACACACATACACACATACACACATACACACATACATACATACATAATTATAAATACGTACATACATAAATACATGCACAAATACATACATAAGGACACAATATCACACAAATACAGAACAGTTTGCAACCATGCCATTGTCAGTCGCCACTGTGCAGCACCTTGTATTTTGCGCTAAAGTTGTCGTGTCTTGCTCAAGGACACACCCCAGTGATCACCCATCTGATGGCGTCGGTGGCCTAGTGGTTAGGCTCTCGGACTCGCAACCGCAAGGTCGCGGGTTCGAATCCCGTCAGGGGCCCGACGTTGTGTCCTTGTGAAAGTCACTTTGCACAGATTTTCCTCACTTCACCCAGGTGGAAATGGTTACCCGGCTATAGACAGCGAACGATCTTGTCAGTTTGATAGTGTTTGAGCGCGTGAAATCCGCAGCTTGCACTGCATGCTTCCACGGAAGCCGAGAATGTTTCTGAGTGTTCTCAGAGGGTCTGCTGGGGGTAATAATGGTTGTAAAGCGCATAGAGCATGCTCTTGAGCATGGATATGCGCTATATAAATACAATTATTATTATTATTATTATTATTATTATTATTATTATTATTATTATTATTATTATTATCCCCGTGTCACCGACACTTGCTTGACATTACTTGAGTCTATGTTCACTACTTACTTAGCCACTAGAGCCCCCTTGAGTCACAAGAAGAAATATAAAGACACTAACTTCAATTTACATCAATACTCACCGTTATATTGACCTGTCCTTAGGTACCATCACACTTGCGAGAGCCATCAAAATCCTCTCGTTCATCTACGCGTTCATTGTGGGCTGTTACCTCCCTGTCTACGCCACACATGGGCTGTGGTGGGCTCCAGCCCCTGAGGGTAATGGGACAAAACTTGTGCTCTGGTTCTCCGACATCCGAGCTGACGTCGAAGCGGTCAGCAATATCGTCAACGGCATCGTCATACCAACATTGTCTTACCTTGCCGTCATCGTTTGTTCTTATGTGATGATTGCAGGGTTAAGATCGTCGTCAAAGTTTAGAAATAAAGCCAATATCACAAACAATACGGAAAAACAAAATATCTCCTTGCCTGTGGATGATGCCTCAAAGTCTTCCTGTTTTCCAAAAGGAGATGACGGCAAAGGAGAAGAGCAGAACAATGAATTCTATAGCCACGAGAAAGACAGACGTTCTCATACAACTACAAGTTCAACACTATCCGGGAAGGAAAGACGAGTTGTGAAACTAGTGAGTCTGGTGGCCGTAATCTTTATCCTGTGCACCGTGCCACAAGTAACTTTGGTTTATGCTCGACGATTTATGGAAGAGCTGAATGTCAACCGCCAATATCACAACGTGCATTTAACGCTGTTCGCTGTTGTGTTTTTTGTGGGTGGAATAAACTCTTGCATAAATATGTTTGTGTATCTCAAAACAAGCTCTAAGTATAGAGAAGTTTTCATGTCAATGGTAGGTAAAATAGCTTAAATAAAATGGTTCCATTTTCAATAGACATGGTAACGTTTTGTTTGACCTTTGCTTGTCAAAAGAATAAAGCACTCAACAAAGCAACAAATGCTTTTACTATGAAATAAGACAATCTTCCTGATCCTCTGATTGGTCTTTTTTGTTTAAAATTTCTTGAGTGTACCACTTCAAGGAATATTTTGTCAACAGGATAACGAGTGAAGCTCGCCCCTCCCTCCCCTTTGTTTCCTTTTCTCGTTTCACGTTCCCAGTTCATACAACATACACGCACACATGTCCATGCACATATGCTCAAACATGTCTACTGACGAATTTAAAATAAATTAGACTGATTTTGAAATGTGAGACTATTCTGAAATGTTTAAGGCTTATCGAAGAAGGTAGGAGTGAGTTAGAAAGTTTCGGAAAAATTGTCTTTATCATCGTTATTTTCCCCAAAGCATTACAACAACTCTTTTAACATCTTCTGACCATGTTGTTCTGTATTCTGGTGAGCACCAAGAGAAATACTTTCTCCTGCTCCTGTTCTTTCATAATATCGAAATTTAGAAGGAATACAATCTAATATCATATTACAGTACCAAACGAATGAGTTCGAGAGAAGAAAGCAATACCTTTGTCGAAAAAAAGAGGAGAAAAACAAAGAGGCGTTTATGCTTGGGTTTTCATAAATGACTTACATTTACAGTTTGCTGTTGATAAATATACACTGGGGTAGAAGAGGTTTTGATATGACACGACCAGAAACATGGTAGGAGTAACAACAGTCTGCTCTAATATTCGACAGCTGAGAACCAAACTGTTCAGATATATCTGTCTAGCAACAGTTCTCCCTTCTAAGAAAACGGCATAAAACTACTACTACTACTACTACTACTACTACTACTACTACTACTACTACTACTACAACAAAACACATAAAAACCAATAACAAATAGACCAAAACAAAGCAAAAAGAACCCCAAAAAAATAAACAACTGACCTATAAGGCATACGGCATGAAGATGTCAGGACGGAGATGCAAGAAAAAGACTAGGGAAGACTTGGAGGGTGAGAAAGAGATTGCCAGCATCTTCACATCTTTATCCTACCTTGTCAGGATCTTCGTCCTCTCATTCCCGGACATCTCAATCTCCCAATCATACCCCCCCACCCTCCACCCCCGCCTTTCCTCCTCCAAAGTCAAAAGGGAAGAAGCACTATTAAATAAGGATGTTCAACACGTCTAACGCGTCCAAACACGGTCTCTGTTTCTAGATTTTGGCTGTGGTCTTGAAAGTAATTGGGAATCCTACAATGTGATTGCTTTTTTAAAATATGGAATTGATCCACCCAGTAAGAATGGGATATCCTCCAGACATTTTTCCAACATCCAACTTCTGCAACCCCCCCCCCCTCCCCGCCCCTCCCCAAATGCATTTATTCAGTTGTACACTGTAATCCAAACCGAACATAGATGAGAGAAAGTCAAGTCACAGCAAATTCAAAGATCAGCATCTCCACCTTACTGTCCGGGTGCTGACCGGAGAACGACCACATTAAACAATTGCTAATCAGTATATCTCTATAGTACCAACAAGCTGTCATTATGCAATTTTGGAACGTTTGTAAATCTAATCCTACACAGTAAAATGTCTTGTTAGAACCATTAGGCTTCAAAATCCTTTGGTCGAAGAACTTATGAGATCATTACGTTTTTAAACAAAATACATTTAATTGACAACAACAATGACAAAGACAGTCTTTATTCATCTCACAGGGAGAAATTCGTCTAGGACGTTTACAACGACAGTAAAATGTTACAAATGTTTGGTGCACTCACGCATACACACAAGACAGGACATTAGTAAACATGTTTTACGAGCTGAAACAACCCACTCTATAAAACATTCTCTCTCTCTCTCTCTCTCTCTCTCTCTCTCTCTCTCTCTCTCTCTCTCTCTCGGTCTCGCCTCCCAACTCACGTTCCGCCTCTCTGTGTACTCATATCTCATAAAACAATTACAAATTTATTTCTTACTTTAATCCTGCTTCTAAAAGATTTTTAAAAAACTCTTTGAGAAGCATTTATGAAAATATCGTTACTAGAAAGTCTATATTTTTTGTTATCAGGTCGCTTAAATATAATATAATGCTGTGTTTATGAATTTAGATGACCCACACAGAAGGACAATAGTTCATGAGCTATATCTGACTTTTGACAAATCAATAAGTAAGCCCAAATGAGTTGCTCGAAGAGAATTGCTGCACATCAAGTTTTGCCTCAGGTGGAAGCGTCTATATTCTGAGATTGAGTTCACTGACTCAGTGTTTGAACAGCTTTCCTTCAAGTGAGGCGTCTGTTTTCTTGTGGTTAGACTGTCGGATACTTAACCGAAAGGTCATGAGTTTGAACCCCGTCAAGGGGTCCAACGTTGTGTCCTTAGGAAAGGCTGTTTTTGTACGTATTTGCCTTCATTTATTCAAGTGGGAATGTTTGTTAGTGTTTGAGCACTTAATCAACTGCGTGGACTGTATGCTCCACAAGAAGCCCAGAATGTTTTTAAGTGTCCCAGTGTCTGTTGGGGTTGTAATGGCTGCCGAGCGCTTAGAACATGTCGTAGAGTGTAGAGTATGGCTACGCATCATATTATTATTATTATTATTATTATTACTATTATTATTATTATTATTATTATTATTATTATTATTATTATTATTATTATTATTATATTTTTTATTATTTCTAATGTTCTTGTTCTTGTTATTATTATTGTTATTGTTATTATTATGTTTTTAAAATTATTATTATTATTATTATTATTATTATTATTATTATTATTATTATTATTATTATTATTATTATTATTATTATTATTATTATCATAAGTGCCATCTGACACTAGAGCTCACTGGCAATTGGGGGCGTATGGGACAGATCCTTTGATTTGATATGAGCATCAATCCTACAACATGGATACCGTAACAGCACTGATAGGCGGTCAAGACGGCCACCGGGACCGAAGAGCTGGCATTGTGAGCAATGAGTTACAGAGATACATGTACTTCAATGTGTACCTCGTGGGCGTGGATTGTTCTTCCATCTCTAACATAGGTTTGGTGACAAACACAATCAACATCGCAGTCTTCAAGAGGTCAGTCAGTTTATAGGGGTTTCATCCGAAAAGATGTGAGCTCGTATTTATGTGGTCCGGACTGAAAGGCACAATTAAGATTTTTATTTAATTAGCAAAGATGACAAGCAAGCTGGATATCCCAGAAAGTAGAAAGATCTGAAGAGAACGAACCTAAATGGCACCTACCAACACCTTCTCACCACACGCGACTACAGAAGCTAAAGTCAGCTACACAATGAAATATCTAATGCCAAACGAGCAATCCAACTTGAGGTAACTACAAAAAACAAAACAAACGAAAAGCCAAACAAAAACTAAACACCCCACCCCCAAAAAAACAACAACAAACAGCAACAAACAAAAAAAACAGACAAAGAATAGATAAGCATCCTGTATGCCTTGCGTCAACCCTGGCTAATGTAAGTCGAGTTTTTGTCTTTTGGGATGCGTCCTACCTGGCCAAATGTTGTTAGTATGGTTGTCAAAATGCACATACCCACCAATTTTTGTCATGTCAAATAAGGTTTCAAATCAGGTTTGGGTTTTCTGTCTTTGCATGGATAAAAAGGGCCTTACAAGTATTTTTCAGAAAACTAACATAAAGTAGACACATGAGAAGATGTTTCAAGAACTATTGATATTTGGTCCGTAACGGTGAGATGATACGTTGTTAATATACTAAAAAAAATAAAGAGATGAAATCTCTACTGTATTGGTGGACTTAGCAAGCAAAAATAGTCACTGAAATATGAAATTCTCTAAGCGATGTCAGCCTTTCTACCATTCAAGTCTTCTTGGGATTTTTTTTCAAACAGGGTTGTCAAGACAGTGTCACCATACCGCTTCTTGCAGTAGCTTTGTCTGACCTACGATCTACCATTTTGCAATTTCGTTATCGGCGCCTGCTTCATTGCTCTGGAGATGAGCCTCTTAACTAAGGTAAACTTTATTGCCTGTGGCCACCATTGATCCTTCCAATTTATTTCGCTTTTCCAAGTCATTTACCGTTCCGTAGATTCATAAAGTCTCTTTTCTGCCCTAGGTATACGAATAAAGACAACGTCATTTCTCAACAAGCGGAAAACAAATCTTCACTGATACCTTGCCCTCCAAATTAATTGGTAAAGAAACGCAGTAAATTGTCAGTAAAATTGTTTTTAGCTTTATATGGTTAAAAAACAAATGACAACAATACTTACGGATGCTAAAATCATTTACGGTAAATAAAGTGTTTTCTTTAATCCAAACACATTACTATAACATAGAACCTATAGATCACGCTTGTCTGTTATTGTGCTTAGAAAAACGAGTCTTTACACTTATTTTTTTAAGCTGAGGGAATACTACCATCACAGAAAGAGATTGCTGACGATTTACATATTATATTGAAAGGTCAAGTTGTATAATGCTCGTGCACTCTATTCCTAGAAGCTCGACTGGATTGACATATTTTACGTGGGTTTTGCTTGGTCACGTGCAATGATTCTGGACATTTCCTTGCTTACGACAGTCTTCATTTCTCTAGAGCGGTGCCTCTGTGTCATTATTCCTCTTCGTTTTAAAGGTGAGCTGGCCATTCCGGATCTTTGACGCGGAATGCAAATCCAACAAAAAAATCCCTACAAGATGTTTAATCTATCTCTTTTATTGTCCATTTTCGATTACTTAACGAGCATTATGAACTCAGTAGGTTGTGCATTGTTTTCCTCTACTTGGACCAACTTTCCCTCTTGTTTACCAGATAGGGTTTACAATTTTTCCCTTCCTCTCAAAAACAGTTTATCCCTCTATGGCAGTTAGAGGTGCACGTCAAGTTTCCATCTGGGAAACAACTTTCCGCTGCACTTATTGTGTTCAGTAGGGTGTTAAAGTAAAGCAAACACTACACATCTTTTTTAAAAACCCTAACAATGAGTATAGACATGTATCTGATTTATTAGAATACGTGTGACAATGGTTTGCGTACTTGCCGTTTTTGTGTACAATCGCAATCAAGGAGTTGTATGGTAGCCTTTTCAAGTTTACATTAAAAGTGAGTTGTATTCATAGTGGTTTATTATGGAACCACAGATAGAAGGCTTGCACGTCATCACAATATAGCCTGCTGACTGTCAATACATTGCCATTTCAGCGAAAAGTATTCATTTGACTGTCTCTAGGTACCATCACACTTTTAGGAGCCATCAAAATAACCTTGTTCATCTACACGTTCATCGTGAGCTGTTACCTCCCTGTCTACGCCACACACGGGCTCGGGTGGGCTCAAGCCTCTGAAGTTAATGAGACAAAACTTGTGCTCTGGTTCTCCGACATCCGTGATGAGGTGGAAGTGGTCAGTAATACCGTTAACGGCATCATCATACCCACTGTTTCCCACCTGACGGTCTTCGTGTGTGTTTACGTTATGATAGTAGGGTTAAGATCAACATCAGAATTAGAAGCAAAGCCAATATGAAAAAGAACACTGGAGTAAGTAGTAACACTCAATACATTGTGGACCCTTCTGAGATCCTGTCTACTTCAGAAAGAGACGACACAACTGAAGAACAAGTACATTACAATGTTCGTCCTGAGAATGAAAGCAGACATGAGGGTACAAATAAAGGTTCAACACTGTGTGGGAAAGAAAGACGTGCTGTTAAACTGGTGACGTTGGTCGCTATTGTTTTCAATTTGTGCACCTTGCCTCAGGTGGCAATGACTTACTCTTGACGATTTATTACAGAGCTTGCTGTGCATCGTTAGTACAACAACATCCTCTGGACCCTGTTCGGTGTTGTTTACTTTGTGGGAGGCATCAATTCTTGCGTAAACATGTTTTTTTAAAAACCTCTACGCAAGTTCAAGGTATAGAAATATTTTCTTGTCTATTATTAATAAAAAGCTCAAAGGGCCCTCGGCTTGATATGCCAAGGATATGTTTGTGCCATGTTCTTAAGGAATTATTGTTTTAACGAAGATGGCTTAGATAAGTGGAAACAAAACAAATCTTCATCTTTTAACCAGGTCCTCGTCTTCTCACATTTTTGAGTGAAGAACACGTGCTATAAAGAGGCATTTTTTGTTTGCATCAAGGGTAGGAGAGATGGTACAGAATAAACAGGAAAATGGATATATTTAAATATTTCTCGTATATTCTTTTCAATTCTGTAAAACGTTTTTGGTAGGTCAGGGAATTCATAATCTGGGTGTACAATTACAAGGTAAAAAATGAGTGCACCACTTTACTACATCAAAACAAATGTGGAAAACATTATACAAAATTGGTTTTAAAAAAAAGAAATTAAAGCTGTAATTCGGCTTCTTCGTGCAAAAGACACGGTGCTTCGATGTTTGCATGGCATTGTTGGAACGATCCAGGCAAAAATGTACATAGCAACCTCGGACGTGGGCCAGTTTGTGACTTCCAAAAACCTAATGAAATCTTTTTCCCTCAGTCTTGGTCTTGCCCCTTCAAATTTACATCTGCCTGGACCAAAGAGAAGTAATATCTATCTGGGAAGAAAATTACTGATCACATATGGAGCATAACGTTAAATTCTACAGGGATTGCATGCATTTACTCAAGCAGCGAAGAGAAAAAAACTTGACTGCTCATGAAGATTACGTTAAGAAATAAAGGGAATGTTTAGCCAACAAACTATTTCTGTTGTATCTCAATCTTGTCAAAGCCTTTTAGTAGATTGCCACTTCTAGTTAATTCTGGGACAGCCCTTAAAAATGTAGTAAAGCAGTTCTGATCTCACTTTGTGCTTATACTTATACCACCTTCTACAACCCTCCCCCTTCTCCTCCTCAGCCCCCCCCCCCCCAACACACGCGTGCACACGCACACGTGCGCACACATGAACATACATACAGAGGGGCGGGAGAGAGAGAGAGAGAGAGAGAGAAATATTCCGCGAGAGAGAGAGAGAGAGAGAGAGAGAGAGAGAGAGAGAGAGAGAGAGAAAGTGGAGGGGGGGGAGGAGGGGGAAGAGAGGGAGGAGGAGAGAGACTGGCTATTACACGTTCACGCAAAACATGAAGCTTAGAAGCAATATTATTGTACTTTTGAGCTCTTTTTGTCATGGAATATATCCATTCCATCATCTGTGAAGATGGGCGAATCTTGTCTCTTCATCTGGATGAGCGAATGTTGTCTCATCATCCGTACTGTGCACACGTTTTAGTACAGAATGAACGTTGGCATGTTATTCACTCTTAACCTTGGAAGTTACATGATTGATCATTGACGGAAAGATCAGGCTTGATACTGGGAAGATGAAAAAATGTAAATCTATAGATATGTAGCACATGAGTTTATTTCCCTAGAAATATAACTTTGTTTTGGGGTCTCCCGCTTACACATTATTGAGTTTGAGGTATAATACGTTTGATTCGTCAACTAAAGGTGGTTTGGACACGTAATGAGAATGGGCTACAACAACCAGTCTCCAAACTCTACAGCTCTACGATATAATGACTTCAGGGCAAAATGAAGGCCGAGAAAAAGATGGATCGACGTAGTAAAAGAGACTCTAAAAAAAAGAAGAACATGACAATCCGAACAGCGACACACCTGGCCCTCGTCCGACAACTGTATGTCCCCTCGACACCTTGAGGTATAAAAGGAAAGAAAAGGTAAAGAAAAGTTAGTCTTCAACCGCGAGAGGGAAGTCACAGAAACAACCGCATCTAGATCTAGTATACAACCGTTACTCTTAAAAAAGTGGGAAAAATAGGTACATAAAATATTTTTCTATTTGTCTGTTGGGATGACCACGTTAGTGTAGTTTGTTATATATTTATAGACTAGTATAGGTTGAGACTGTGTGCACTGGAATTGTTTGTTTTTTTATAGTAAAGGGTTTTACGGCGCTCGCAACTGCATAAGATCGTATGAGCGCGCGGGACACACCTAATACTTTTAGTTGGTAAGAAATTTTTAATTTTGCCCGGGTGGCGGCCGAAGCCTACTCTTATCAATTTTAGACCACTGGGGGATCTTTAATGTGCGCAACTTGCTCACGGGCCCTCCGAGATTTTTCGCCCTTGTCCGAGAAGGCTAGGTGTAGATCTTTCCTACCAGAAGATCAGGGGTGTTGCAGAAAGACAGCTGTAAGAAGGAGTTAAGGAGTAGCAGTAGAAAGGCTGCAGAAATAGTCAGGAGCCAAGAGGAGGGGGCAAAGGAGGTGGGGAGGGGGGTGGGGACAGAAAGAGGAGACGAAAGCAGACGACAGAATATTGCTAGAGAGCAGGAAAGGAGGTGAAATTAGACAATTTTAGAGAAGAAATTTTTTCGGTCGCTACCCGGATTCGAACCCGGGACCTTTGAATGAGAGGCCAACACCTTAGCCTCTAGGCCACGAGAGCCCCCTGGAATTTTTATATAATACTCAAACAATCAGTACATCACTGATAAACAAGAAGGTGACACTGAAAGCAAAGAATACACGCTCAAACTTTAATCTGCCTAAAACGTCAAGCGGCCTACTCGAACCAAGTATAAATGGAGGTTAAAATTGTCAACATTTTATATACAATGAATATATAATTCCTTTTTTAAAAAGTGCCTTGTATGTATTATTAGAAACGATACACAGTGTCAGCAGTATGTAAGGTACGCATGGGGGATTCCTGTTTGCTTATTATCAGTGCACAACTAATATCGCTCCTAACCTACCAATTTATCAATTCTTCAGGTCAAAATCTTGAACATTCGGTTTCGTCATTTCAACGAAACTTTTATTCGTTTAAAATGTGAGATCTGAAGAGTGTGTGGTTCCTCCGAAAAAGTGTCGTAAAGGTAGTCGCCACCAGACATTGTCATTTCTTTTATGTCATATGTGTGGGAAATACTGTGTTCGTTGAACAGTTGTCACTTCCAACACAAAGAGCAGCTTTTTTCTCCCAACTTTTGCCTCAGCAAAGGGAATCGGTCTTCACTCGAACATCGATAAAACCTTCCCAGTACCTCGTCTTGTATGACACTGCTATAACTATGCTTTTATTGGCTTTGCATTAAGAATTAAATAAGGTTATTTTACACTTAAACATAAATGGAAAAGCCAAATACATGTAAGTAAAAGAAATTCTTTGAATTCAATGTTGACACAGCCTATGTTGTACCGAGAAGATTGCTCCTATTAAACTAATAATATACATCAATGCTAAACACGTGCGTGCCCGCGTGCGCGCGCGCGCACACACACACACTCACACACACACAAACACACACACACACACACATACATACACACACACGCACACACACACACACACACACACACACACGCACACACACTTACGCAAAAAAGAGAGGGACAGAGAAAAAGAAAGAAAGAAAGAGAGACAGACAGACAGAGACAAAGACAGGAACAGAGACAGAGACAGAGCCACAGAGAGAGACAGAGAGACAGAGAGATATAGACAGGGAAAAGAGAAGGGGCGGGGGAGGGGGGTGGAGGGATAAAAAAAGAGAGAGAGAGAGGAGGGGGAGAGACAGATAAGATATATAGTTAGATAGATAGATCGACAGATAGATATATAAAGAGAGGGAGTGAGTGAGTGAGAGAGAGATAGAGAGAGATAGAGAGAGAGAGAGAGAGAGAGAGAGAGAGAGAGAGAGAGAGACTGGGAAGGTTTTTTGTCGATGAAACGAGCTGCCCGTGTGCCTTTAGCACAACAAAGAGCTTAGGGCTTTAAAAGGCTCCCAGGCCATAGAAACTCACGCCTCACGCCTCACAACTCAGGCTTATGCCTCACGCCTGAACGCGACAGTGGAACAATGAACTGATGCACTTCACAGGTCACGGCTCCTGCGTGAACCTAAAAGTGAACATAAAATAAAAATATTCACTTTTTCGAGGCGTGAGTCGGGGGCCCAATCCTGGAAAATAGAAACATCTCAATGACCACCAAAATGAAAGTTCTGAAATGCTATGTATGGTCAACCCGTCTATATGGCTGTGAATGCTGGACAATCAGTAAAGACAGTGAAAATAAAATAGAAGCAACAGAAATGTGGTTTCTTTGGAGACTGCTAAGAGTATCTTGAAAGGAAAAGAAATCAAATGAGGTAGTGCTTGATAAAGCCCACGTGGGACGCTCAATGTTAAAAACCACCAGGAAACGACAATAAATGCACTTTTTGGGACACCTGAATAGACATAAAGGTCTTGAACATAAAGCTCTCTCTGGCAAAATTGAAAGCAAACGAGGCAGGGGTAGACCCAGAACAATACAATCTACTTGGGGAACCTAAACAAATGGGTAACAGAGAAAGATCAGTGAAACGTAGCTTTTTTTTTAGAGCATCCGAACAAATGAATGAATGGAGAACCATGATCG